AGAATCTGGCGCCCCAACCGGGACTAGAACCCGGTGTGCTGGCGCCGCAAGGCGGAGGATTAGCCTATTGAGCCACGGCGCCAGCCAGAATTTCATAATTTTATTAGAATTATAACATATATACAAAAACATATATATGTGCTCAGTTTGATGAATTTTCACAAAAAAATAGTGTACACAGTATAATAGAAAAAAGGCCCTTAGTGGCTTCTTTCAGTGACTAGGACCCCATCCCTAACCTCCCAAAAAGTACCTACTACACTTACTTTTTTTTTCAAAGATTTAGATTTATTTATTTATTTGAAAGTCAGAGTTACACAGGGAGAAGGAGAGGCAGAGAGAGAGAGGTCTTCCATCCAATGGTTCACTCCCCAATTGGCCGCAATGGTCGGAGCTGGGCTGGAGCTGGGCTGGAGCTGCGCCGGAGCTGCGCCGATCTGAAGCCAGGAGCCAGGAGCTTCCTCCGGGTCTCCCACGGGGGTGCAGGGGCCCAAGGACTTGGGCCTTCTCCTACTGTTTTCCCAGGCCATAGCAGAGAGCTGGATTAGAAGTGGAACAGCTGGGTCTTGAACTGGTGTCCATATGGAATGCTGGCACTGCAGGTGGTGGCTTTAGCAGCTATGGCAAAGCGCTGACCCCAGTACCATAAAATTATATCCTGTAATGACATAGTTGCTATCCCTATCATACTGATAAAAGAAAATAACTTAATAATGCATTTTTTAGAACGTAGCCTGTTTTTAAGTGATGCTGACTGTAATCAGTTATGGTCTGGTCATTCTCTCATCACTGTGTAATATCTTAAATGTTTTATTTTGAAAATTTTCTAAACCCACATAAAAGTTGACTTATACCATGAGCATCCATAGAACCTTTACCTAGAAGATAAAAATACATTGTTATCTTCATTTTACAGATGAGGAAACAAAGACAAAGAGAAATCAGACAACTAGTCCAGGTCATGCCCCTGGGATCTAGTCTTGCCCTAGCTTGCTGCTTAGGCAGTCACAAGACTATGCAGGTTGCATGTCTCTGAGGCTGTTGCTTCATTACTAGAATGAGAGTAATAATTTCCACACCATCAAGTTTCCCAGCTGTTGTGGGGCTGGAAGTATAAGCAGCATGTGAAAACGCTTTTGTGAAGAGTAAATGGTGGTGCTCCAAATGGGTACTGTTAAAAACATATGACTGCTGGGCTGTACCATCTCTGCATCCTGACTCAGTAGGTCTCGGGCAGGAGGCAGAGTCTCTAACAAGTGCCCCAGGTGATTCTGATACATGAGTTCCCAAACCACACCATGAAATACCACTCTGTAAAATAAATGGTTTTCGATTTACAGACTATCAGAATCACCTGTAGGACTTACTAAACCAGAGTGCTGCGCCCACTCCCAGAATTCCACTTTGGTTGGTTTGGAGTGGGGCCTAGGAATTCACAGTTCTAACAAATTCCCACATGATGCTGATGCTGCAGGCATTTAGAAAGGTCAAGTAGTCGGACTACTGCCTGTCTTGATAACCCAGAGAATTTTTGGTTAAGAGGGACTTCTAATAACAGATCGTATTTATGAAGTATAATTGGTGACTTACAAACTGAAATTTGATTCAACAGCTATTTGATGAACAGCTGCATAGTGCAGGCATTATTATGTATACTGGGAGTTACAATGAGAAAACAACTTTCTTGATTTTAAAGAACAAAGAAGGCATAAAAAATAAACTGTACAACAAAGGCAAGCATCAAAGTTTGTACAAGCGACAAAGGTAGCAGAGTGTTTGAGTTATGGATTCCATGGAAGGTACTTGTGAGGTCTTGCTGCAGTCATGGCATTTGTCCTGATGAATGCTCAGTGGATAAAGCAGGGAAAAGAGCATGAACAATGATACACAGGAATCCTGCACTACAGACTGCTCATGGGACTGTCAGTAACTCGTGTATCTGGAGAGAGACAGGAAGAGCCTGGTGATACAGGCAGGACACAGATTCTGGAGGGTGCAGGAGGCCATGATACAAAGGTCAATTGAGGGCTGCCGCTGTGGTGTAGCAGGTAAAGCTGCCACCTGCAGTGCTGGCATTCCATATGGGTGCTGGTTCGAGTCCCAGCTGCTCCACTTCCAAACCAGCTCTCTGCTATGGTCTGGGAAAGCAGTGGAAGATGGCCCAAGTCCTTGAGCCCCTGCACCCATGTGGGAGACCCGGAAGAAGCTCCTGGCTCCTGGCTTCTGGCTTTGGATCGGCACAGCTCCAACCATTGTGGCCATTTGGGGAGTGAACCAGTGGATGGAAGATCTCTCTTTCTTTCTCTCTCTCTTTGTCTCTGCCTCTCCTTCTCTCTCTCTGTGTGTAACTCCAACTTTCAAATACATAAATAAATAAATATTTAAAAAAAGGTCAGTTGAATCCTGAAGATAACCAAATACTTGTAAAATCCTGAAATCTTCCAGGAATCTTGGCTGGCCCAATCAATGGTCATGGCCTCACATTCCCTAGGACTGCCTCATTGCTCAAGTTCTACCTTAATGGGATCCTACATATTTCAGCTTGCTTGTTATTCTTGCAAACTCCATGTGCTCACAAACTCATGAAGCTGAAGGGGCACTGTGGGGAGCAACTCGGACTAGACTAAGTTACTGGAATTAAGACTTATTCTATGCATCTGCTCTCCCACAATATGGCGCTGAGAAGGGAAACAGCTTCTACACAGCTGCCTCCAGTTCAACCAATAAACTGTAGGACCTGCTCCTGATTGGAGGAGAGCAGCGTACTCGGCGTGTGGGTAGCAGAGTTGGGATTGGTGGAAAAGGACTATAAAGGAGGAGAGAGACAACATGCACCAGGAACATCTAAGGGGAACATCTGAAGGAACACCTGTGCAGCCCCCCGAGAGAGCCGGCCGGCGGTGTACCGCTCCCCTGCGGAAGTGGGGAATGTGGCAGGGGGAACCGCCCTTCCACGGAGGTGGAAGGGTCAGTAGCCAACCCGGGGAGGGCCGAGCAGACAAAAGAACAACGCAGGGTCCTGTGTCGTTCCTCCACGAAGACGGGGAGTGACATAATGGTGCCGTGACTCGGATATGAAGCCTAGGCAGGGCTTAGTGTCGTTCCTCCATGAAGAGGGGGAGCGACAGGCACAGAATTTCATTTTTTGTGGGCCTGGAGAGTCTGGCCCCAGATTAGTCACTGGAGTCCTCTCTTTCACAAGCCAATAAAAAGAAAAAGAAGCTTGCTAAATCCTTACACAGTGGAAGTGACTCACAGGCTGAAAAACCAAAAAAAGAGATGAAGGCATTTTGTACATGCAAGGGCAAGAGTTTTCCAATGCTAAATATAGGAACTGCAAACATTTGTTTAGAGCATAAACAAAACTGGACTTGTAAAAAGAAAACAAAAACATAATGTCAACATAGGAAAGAATAACAGAACTTTTTTGGACTTTAAACATTTTCATATTTTATTTTGAATTACGCAGATGAAAGGGAGAAAACAGTAATTTTTCTTGCTAGGAGCCTCTAGAAATTAATTCAATCCTGTATAAAGAACTTTTTTAAAAAATATTTATTTATTTATTTGAAAGGCAGAGTTACAGATGCAGATGCAGAGGCAGAGAGAGGGAGAGAGAGAGAGAGGTCTCCCATCTGCTGGTTCACTCCCCAAATGGCCACAATGGCCGGAGCTGGGCCTATCCAGAACCAGGAGCCAGGAGCTTCTTCCAGGTCTCCTGCATGGGTTCAGGAACCCAAGCACTTGAGCCATCTTCTACTGCTTTCCCAGGCACATTAGGAGGGAGCTGGATTGGAAGTGGAGCAGCTAGGACTCCAGCTGGTGCCTAAATGGGATGCTGGCGCTGCAGGAGGAGGCTTTACTTGCTATGTCACAGTGCCAGCCCCTAAAGGACCTATTCTTAATTGGTCTGTTCGGAGACTTAAATACGACAAGCAGGAACAGCTGTTTGGTACAGCGTTTAAGACCCTGCTTAGAGTACATCCCATACAGAGCGCTTTGGTTGCAGTCCCAGCTCGCTTGTGATTCTAGCCTCCTGCTAATGTGCACCCTGGGAGGCAGGGGGGTGGCTCAAGTCCTGGCTCCCTACAACCCAAATGGGAGACCTGGATGAAGTGTCCAGCTGCAGGCTTTGGCTTAACTCAGTCCAGGCCATCTGGAGAGTGAACCAGAGCATGGGAGTTCTCTCTCAAGCAGTATCCCTGTGCGTGCTACACTGGTTAAGCAACCGAGCTGCATGCTGAGGTCACCTGGTACCTAGCATTGTTGTCTACCCCCTCACTCTAGCTCTCTGGCCTGTCATTAGATTGTCCTCAGCTGGGGAGACCCAAGCCCTACAACTTGCTTGGGAGATGGATCAGAAACTACCGTCTAGGGAAGAAATGCGCTCAGCACTGTTATGGCTCCGGGTGGTCGCATAACTTTTGTGCTCAAATAATCTGATTCAGGTCTCAGTATGTTACACAAGAGGAAACCAGGAACGCAGAGCTGGCCATCTTGCATAGAGATAGGCAGCTATCAATCCGTAGAGATTTGGGGTAAGACTAGAAGGGGTCTTATTGGTATTCCTAGGCTTTTTCTGTTAATTTCAATTCAAGGCTCCATCAGAAATCAACGTTTAAGGGACGGACTTTAAAGCCAAAGAGCAGTGAAACAGGAATCTCTACGTATCTGTAATTCGTTTAGAATTTTGCGTAACACTAGGAAGTATTTATTCGCTTAAAACAAACAAACAACAACAAAAAAACAAACAAACCCCAGCAGCTTAGAAGTCATTGTTCACATTCCGAAAGCGTTCTCATCAACACGTGTTAACCCTCCTTTCCCGAAATCCTAACGCCTGCGTGGCAGTCATCCACTTTTGCACCTGGCTCTCAGAATCCTCTACCCCGGACACGGCCCCCCGCCTCCGGGCAGAGCCCCTCCCCCGGGCTGGGATCCCGCCCCAAGGAGGTCAGGGCCCCTCCCCTAGAATGGCCGCTGGCCGGCCGCGGAGAGGGGAAGGGCCGGCCGCGGGTCACGTGCTGCGTGGTGCGGCTGGCGCCGCCCGCGGCGGGTACTTAAGGCGGTGGCCGCCCGCAGGCCGCGCTCTGCACGTCCGAGCTGCCCGCGGGATTCGACTGCTCGCCGCGCCCATCGGTGGGTGCCCCCGCCGCGCTGAATGTTGCTGGGGGGAGGGGGAATTCCTCGGTTCTGGGGACCTGCCCCGACCTGCCGGGCTCCGGGCTGGACGGCGATGGCTGCGGGCCATGCGGGGCGGGCTTCCGAGCTGTCCTTCTGTGAGGCGTCTTTCCTGCGGGCAGCTTCGGTGCTGCTGCAGGGCTGTGGAGCAAATACTTGTGTCCGACCGGACGTGATTTAAAGGGAACACGCTTTGGAAAATCGGTCTCAGGCATGGTGTGGTGGGGCGTGCAGTGACTGTAGGGCTAATGATCATGGCGCCCAACTTCCACCTCTGGGCAGCGCCTTCCCGTTTCTTGGGGACCTGGGACCCTGGTGGTGGGGGCTGGGCTGGCGCGGCAGTGGTGGGCCCCGGCCGGCCAGGTGCTTTTCCTCGCCAGCTTGGAGGGTTGGCCTTTTGTGTGGGCCGTGGGGGGAATCCTAAGTTACCCTGAAACGCTCGGTGAAAAGTTTCTCAATTCCTCGGACCGCCTCCTTCGTCTTGTGCTTGGTGTCCCTGAACTCGTTTTGGTGCTTTCATGAGGGAGGTAAAATTAAGTAACCCTCGGATTGCTCCAACTTCGTCTTCCCGACACCCTGCTGAGTGCTCGCTGACCTAACATGGGTTTTAACTTGAGAATCTCTTTTGTGGAACAGCTGCTCTAGTGTCCTGGTGGAGAATTCAGAGTAGGAGGTCAACGACTTCGTTTTTCTCCGCTGACCTCTTTTTCTGTTAAACAGTTTACATTTAAGGCCTGAAACCTTGCCCCGGTTAGGGATAAAGGGGAGGTGGAAGTCCAAGATCATCTGGAAATATTTTCTACTTGAGCTTGGTTTGTACTTGAACATTTTCTTGGGCTGGGAATGAATCAAGGGAGTCTTATCCTAGCGTCCTGAAATAAGTATCTCTCCCATAGATTCCTTTCTCCAGGAAGAAAAAATGGCATCCGTTGCAGTGGACCCACAATTGGTATGAGTTTTATTTAATTTTTATTTCTTATTTGAGAGGCAGAGAGCTCCCATCTACTGGCTCCCTCCCCAAGTGCCTGAGTAGCCCCCCAGCTAAGGCTAAAGCCAGATGCTCAATCTACATGGTTGGCAGGAACCTGAGGGCTTGAGCCATTACTGCTGCCTCCCAGGGTCTGCATTAGCTGCAAGCTGCAGACAGAAGCTGGAGCCAGCTGTCAAAGCCAGGTACTCCTAGGCCAAATGCCTGTCCCAGGTCTTAATTTTGAATAGGTGTTTTGTGACTGTTTTCTTCCCCAGTGTTTTGAGAAGTTAACAACCAAGGGCCGGCGCTGCGCTGTAGTGGTTAAGCTGACAGCCACCCGCAGTGCCAGCATCCCAAATGGACGCTGGTTCGAGACCAGGCTGTTCTACTTCTGATCCAGCTCTCTGCTATGGCCTGGGAAAGCAGTAGAAGATGGCCCAAGGCCTTGGGCCTCTGCACCCGCGTGGTTGACCTGGAAGAAGCTCCTGGCTTCAGATCAGCGCAGCTCTGGCCATTTCGGCCAGTTGGGGCGTGAACCAGGAGATGGAAGACTTCTCTCTCTTTCTCTCTCTGCTTCTCTGTGTAACTCTGACTTTCAAATAAATAAATAAATCTTTAAAAAATATTAAAAAGTTAACAACCTCCTCTTTCCCTTTGGTTGCAGAGTGTGGTGACTAGGGTCGCCAACCTTCCCTTGGTGAGCTCTGCATATGACCTCGTGTCCTCAGCTTATGTCAATACAAAGGATCAGTATCCCTACTTGAAGTCTGTGTGTGAGATGGCAGAGAAGGGTGTGAAGACCATGACCTCCGTGGCCATAACAAGTGCTCTGCCCATCTTCCAGAAGCTAGAGCCACAAAGTGAGTTCTCATTTTTCCCTTCAACATTCAGTCCAAGGAACTGTTCAGGGATGAGGGATTCTCTGCCCTTCCGGAAGCAATACTGACTGTACTAGGAACTGTTGGGTGACCCTCGGACCTGGAAGGCCTGATGTTCACGATACTTTAAAAAAAAAAAAAAAATCCCCAGAGATGTTTCTGTGTTGGTAACCAAGACCATAAGGTTAGCATCAGAACTGAAATGAAATACTGTCTTGAGCCCACACACTGGATATAAACTTTTTTTTTAGTAATTTTTATTGCGGTAAAATTAACGTACCATACAGTTTGCCTATATAAAGTGTACAATTCCATTGTTACTATTTGTGTAGAATTGTACAATCAGTACCACTGTTAACCTCCCTGTTAAAGAAATCTCATACCAAAGTTTCTGTTTGGGATGATGAAAGGCTCTAGAAATGAATGTTAGTGATGAATGCCAACATCATGAAGGAATTTAATGCCTGTTACACGTAAAAGTGGTGAAGATGAGTTTATATTTTGACTGTTTTATCAAAATAAAACAGACGTCATGCACTTTACCAACCGTTCCCCATTTCCTTGCAGCCTCCCCTGGGCAACTACTAACATACTTTCTGTCTTTATAGACTTCCTATTTCAGACATTTCATATAAGTAAAATTATAAAAGTGGTCTTTTGTAACTGATTTTGTTTACATTTTTAAGGTTTATACTTACATCAGTACATTATCTCTTTGTGTGATAATCTGTTTAGGTAAATCATATTTAATTCATCAGTTGATGGGCATTGGTATATTCTGCTTTTTGGAGATTATGCTTTTGTGAGCATTTATGTAAGTTTTTGTGTTGACTGTTTTTCGTTTTCTTAGGTATATAGTTAGGAGTAGAATTGCTGGGTCATATAATACCTGTGTTTAAGCTGTTATGAACTGCCAGGCTGTTTTTTCAAAGTGAATGTGGTGTTTTCCATTCCTACCACCAGTATATGAAGGTTCTAATTTCTCTATATCATGAGTTGCTTTTCAATAAAGATGTCATTTCCCCAAATGGTTAGGTCAAGGACTTTCGGATTATAAGGAAGTTCTAGAGACCAGTTCCTCCAATTTCACTATACCCCAGGTGAACTTGTTACTGTACTTGGCTTGGCCTTTGGCAGGGGAAGCTTGGAGTAAAATCTGGGTCTTGTTAGGGAGATCCAGGATACTGTTACATATTGTTTGTTTCCTGGTAAGAGGCCAGAGTGCCCTGGCGTGTGCTGAACGAAGTACAGGAAGGGACTAAGCTGGCATGAGACGCCAATTTTGAGAAAGTTTCCAGAAAGGTTATTCCCAGAATGAGGGTTCAAGAAGCTCGACTACTGTTGGCCTTAATATTAGGGGTAGAAGATGAGGTAGAAGATCCCTAGCCAGCTTCCTTCTTGGTCATTGGTTCCGTGTGCTCCTTCCTTACATCCCCCTTATTATCTTATTAGTGGAATAAAGTTGGCCAACAATCTACAAACCTCTTGCTGTCTAGCCAGAGACACTAGGCAATGCTTTTGTGGAGATCAACATTTTTTGTTTTTTTATAGTATGGTTAAAAGTATAAGGCATAGTAATGTGTGTTTATTCTAAACTACACTGTTACATTAACATTTTCTCATTTGTGATTCTTCTAGTTGCTGTTGCTAATACCTATGCTTGTAAGGGACTAGACAGGATTGAGGAGAAATTGCCTATTCTGAATCAGCCAACAACCCAGGTGAGTTTGGGACAAGGTGCTAAGATGTGTTTGCATTTAGCACAGACTGAGTGTGCCACAGATGAATAGATACTTATTTGTTCTCAATCTGGATCTGGATTTATTTTTCTTTAAAGTAATGGTTACTCCTTCACTTCCCGAACATTCATTTTATTTGAAAGGCTGAGTGATTGAATGCTTCATCTGCTGGTTCATTCTCTAAATTTGTGCAACAACTGGACTGGGTCACATCAAAGCCAGGAGCCCATAGCTCCATCTAGGTCTCCTACATGGGTAGCAGGAGCCTAAGTACTTGGGCCATCATCTGCTGCCTCCCAGGTGCGTTAGCAGGAAATAGGATTGAAAGTGGAGGTGGACCATCATCCCAGACACTCTGAAATGGGATGTACGTATCCCACGTGGTGACCTGCTATACCGCAATACCTGCCCCACTTCCTGAACTTTTATCAGGTTGTGTCTAAGAAGCAGAGAAGAACTAGATACCTTTAAACCAGAGTAATTTTTTTTAAAGATTTATTTATTTATTTGAAAGTCAGTTACACAGAGAAGGAAAAGCAGAGGGAGAGAGAGGTCTTATCTCTGTTGGCTCACTCCCCAGTTGGCTGCAACGGCAAGAGGTGCAACCATCTGAAGCCGGGAGCAAGGAGCTTCTTCCGGTCCCCTACGTGGGTGCAGGGGTCCAAGGACTTGAGCCATCTTCTGCTGCCCTCCCAGTCCATAGCAGAGAGCTGGATTGGAAGTGGAGCAACGGGACTTGAACTGGTGCCTGTGTGGGATGCCGGCACTGCAAGCAGTGCTTTACTTGCTACGCTGCAGTGCCAGCCCTGAAACCAGAGTATTTTTAATCTGAACTCCATCACTTTGTGGCTTTGCCCCTGCAAATGAAATTGCTCTCTTGAATAATTGGTTCCCATGTATCACCATGGGTAAATGCAGAAGTATGTAGAACCTTTTCTCGCCTGGCTTGGTGCAGTGCCAAGATATGGGACAGCTGGCCAAGATGAAAGGCTTATCCATTCCTCCATTCCAGTGATTCAGAGAATGTCCTAAAATTTTCTTTTTTTTTTTTTTTGACAGGCAGAGTGGACAGTGAGAGAGAGACAGAGAGAGAAAGGTCTTCCTTTGCCGTTGGTTCACCCTCCAATGGCCGCCGCTGCAGCCGGCGCACCGCGCTGATCCGATGGCAGGAGCCAGGATCCAGGTGCTTTTCCTGGTCTCCCATGGGGTGCAGGGCCCAAGCACCTGGGCCATCCTCCACTGCACTCCCTGGCCATAGCAGAGAGCTGGCCTGGAAGAGGGGCAACCGGGACAGAATCCGGCGCCCCAACCGGGACTAGAACCCGGTGTGCCGGCGCCGCAAGGTGGAGGATTAGCCTATTGAGCCACGGCGCCGGCTTAAAATTTTCTTTCATATTAAGAATATAGCATGGGGTAGGCACCGTGGCTCACTTAGTTAATCCTCCGCCTGTGGTGCCAGCATCCCATTTGGGCGTCGGGTTCTAGTCCTGGTTGCTCCTCTTCCAGTCCAACTCTCTGCTGTGGCCCGGGAGGGCAGTGGAGGATGGCCCAAGTGCTTGGGCCCCTGCATCCGCATGGGAGACCAGGAGGAAGCACCTGGCTCCTGGCTTCAGATCGGCGCAGCACCGACTGTGGCGGCCATTTGGGGAGTGAACCAACAGAAGGAAGACCTTTCTCTCTGTCTCTCACTGTCTAACTCTGCCTGTCAAAAAAAAAATAATAATAATAATACAGCACGGGGGGCTGGTAATGTGGCATACCGGGTGAAAGCCACTGCCTGCAGTGCCAGCATCCTAGATGGATACCAGTTCGAGTCCGCTGCTCCACTTCTGATCCAGCTCTCTGCTGTGACCTGGGAAAGCAGAATGTAGCCCAGTTTCTTGGGCCCTGCACCCACATGGGAGACCTGGAAGGAATTCTTGGCTTCGGACTGGTGCAGCTCTGGCCATCTGGGGGGGTGAACCAGCAGATGGAGGACTTTTCTCTCTCCCTCTGCCTCTGCCTCTCTGTATCTCTTCATTTCAAATAAATAAATCCTAAAAAAAAAAAAAATACAGCATGGCCGGCGCCGCGGCTCACTAGGCTAATCCTCTGCCTTGTGGCGCCGGCAACACCGGGTTCTAGTCCCGGTCGGGGTGCCGGATTCTGTCCCAGTTGCCCCTCTTCCAGGACAGCTCTCTGCTGTGGCCAGGGAGTGCGGTGGAGGATGGCCCAGGTGCTTGGGCCCTGCACCCCATGGGAGACCAGGATAAGAGCCTGGCTCCTGCCATCGGATCAGTGCGGTGCGCTGGCCGCAGCGCGCCAACTGCGGCGGCCATTGGAGGGTGAACCAACGGCAAAAGGAAGACCTTTCTCTCTGTCTCTCTCTCTCTCACTGTCCACTCTGCCTGTCAAAAAAAATAAATAAATAAAAAAAAATTAAAAAAAAATAAAAAAATACAGCATGGTGCAAAATGATACCATTTAGTGAGAGATCTGGCTCACTTTTGTAATCTAATAAATTTTTTTTAAAGATTTATTTATTTACTTTAGTGTTGTTAGATATATTCCATCTACTGGGTCACTCCCCAAATGGCCACAATGGCCAGGGCTGACCAGGCCGAAGCCAGGAGCCTGAAACTTCATCCTAGTCTTCCACATAAGTGATGGGCCTAAGCATTTGGGACAACTTTTGCTGCTTTCCCAGGTGTATTAGCAGAGAGCTGGATCAGAAGTGGAGCAACCAGGACTCAAACCAGCGCTTATATGGGATACTGGTGTCATAGGCAGCCACAACACCAGGCCCTGAATAAATAAATTTAGTGTACAGCCTTTAGAATGTGTGTATATCTTTAATTTTTTTTGTTTGTGTTGCTGGTGACTATTCTAATGGTAAGAGTTATTTTGCATTTTGGGTATTTTCTTTGTATTTTTGATGACTCCTATATAATAAAAGTCAGCTGCCCTATATAAAACTAAAAACAGGACTGAATGGACTTCCTAGCTAAATTGGACTCATCCTAAATTACTGTAGATATTCTATTGTGTATCTATATGTATAACCATTTTAGGTGGGTTTTTCACAAATATTTTTTCAGAAATAATTTGAGAAGGACGATGGGGGAAGCAACTCCTCAAATGCCTTTAGTGGCTGGGCCTGGGCTAGAGGCAAAGCTGCCAGCCAGGAATGCAGTGCAGGTCCCATGTGGGTGATAGGAATCAGTTATCATTATTGCTTCCCACAGTCTGCATCAGCAGGAAGCTGGAGTGAGTAGCTGGGGTCAGGAATTGAATCCAGGTACTCTGATACGGAATGCAAGTGTCTCAGCTAGCCTCTTAATGACTAGGCCAAATGCCTGCCCCTATGTGATATTTTTATTTCACAGATAAACCCAACCTTGAAAGTGGTTGTTTACAGCAAGTCATAAGTGTTACAGCTTTAGCTGGTCATCATTCTAATAATGTTCTTTCTGCCATGTTCTGTGGCCTTCAGTATGGCTTGGTGGCAGCCATGAAAGTCCCTGTAAGATGACTCTGTGACTGGGGCCACTGATATTATCAGATGAGTCGATACCGAGGGTTTCCTCCATCCCCCCCCATTTGCATATTCTACCCCTCTTTAATGTAAGAAGAAATTTGTTGTTCTTGTATAATAACCTGTTTCCATGGATAATTTACCCTGCTTGTGTTTGAAGAAGTAGAGTGACTTGGAAGAAAAGAAGATTGAATTTATAGGTGTGTGAAGAGCTGGTTGTTTTTATTTTCACTTAGAAGAGCTTGACATTGATGATTAGCTGTTCTTAGTGAAGTTAGCCCTTCATGGAATATTAGTCATATTTATATAACTAAAATCATGGCATTACAATTGTCAAGTGGAAGCTGTATGGTGCTACAATCTCTGTCTCAATTCTCAGCGCTTAGCTCACCATGCTCACTGTGTGGGTCCTGAGGGGCACCTTAAGGCTTAAAACTGTTTTCTCTTATAATAATAAAAATGGTACTGGGCTGTTAGGATCCAGATTTTCAGTATACCTTTTAGGTGTGATCTTGGACAAGTCACTGGTTTATAAAATGAGTTTGAAAATTTTGTTATGACAGAGATATACCTGGAGAAAATCTCCCTCCCTTCCTCCCCTCCTACCAATCCAACATAGAAGCAGTTCTGTGAGTTAGCTCCTTTAGACTGGAAGCCTAGAGCATTATCTCCCAATTATCTTATCCTTGGTTTTGCTTGCAGCAACCTGGAACTCACTAATAGTCAAGCAGTCTTGACAGTAAAAGTACTTATGAAGTGGTTGAGGGAAACTGAATCCGGTAGAACATGGGAAGATAGGTACAAAAGGAGAGGATCTTTTATACCAGTCTGCATGTTTTTCACACTTGAGCAGGATGGGAAGTAAACCTGCCATTCGCATAGGCTACCTTTGACTCTCTTGGGTGGAACTTGGGTAGGCTGGTGATATGGAGAGCCCTATAGGAGGGACAAACTCCTGAGTGTGCAGCTAGTAGGGTGGAGAACAGCTGACTTCTCTGCCTATGTGTTGGCCCCCTGGTACTGTGTGCAAAGAGCTGTGCCTGCATTGTACCTATGTTGAAGTGCAAAGGCAGGCATGAGCTGCTCTCAGTATGAGCGTGCTGTTGTGGAAAATGCCATTCCTTCCCAGTGTTCTTGTATTTCATTACAGGTTCATCTAAAAACAAACAAACAAGCTGAATCATGTTACCTAATTGACAAATTTCCTAGCTGTTCATTTGGTTTGCACCCTCAGTAATCCTTAGGGTAAAGGAAATTCAGCCCCATCAACCCTTAGTGACTCTCATAAGACCTACGGCCAAAGTGAAAGGACCAGCTTCCTCCTTTAACTCTTCAGTTGTGCTGCCTTAGTTGAGACCTTACATGTGTGTGTGTTCCAATGGTTCTCACTGGTCAAGTAATCGCTTTTCCACTTGCAGGTTGTTGCCAGTGCCAAAGGTGCTGTGACCACTACTGTGACTGGGGCCAGAGTTTCTGTAGCCAACACAATCACAGGGGTGGTGGACAAGACCAAAGGAGCAGTGACTGGTGGTGTGGAGAAGACCAAGTCCATGGTCAATGGCAGCATTAACACAGTCTTGGGAAGTCGGATGGTGCAGTTTGTAAGCAGTGGAGTAGAAAATGCACTCACAAAATCAGAACTGTTGGTTGACCAATACCTCCCCCTTACTGAGGAAGAACTAGGTAATTGGAATTTTGTCTTGAAATATTTTGTATGTATCTTTTTTCATTGAAGATTTATTTGAAAGAGTCATGGGGAGAGAGAAGGAGAGACAGATCTTCCTTTTGCTGGTTTACTCCCCAGATAACTGCAATGGCCAGCACTGGGGCAGGCCAAAGCTAGGAGCCAGGGGCTGCTTCAGGGTCTCCCACATGGGTGGCAGGGGCCCAAACGATATCTTTAAATAATTTCATTGAGGTGTAATTTATATGCCAAGAAGCTCACCAGTCCAGTTTTAGAATTCTGTTACCCTAAAACAAAACAAAAAATCCTCATGCCTGTTTACATTAATTTCTCATCTCCTTCCTGGCCAATCCTTCTGTTTCAGTTGATGTTTTTTCTTGGAACAGTCTTTCACATTGAATTGTATATAGTAAGTTCTGAATATTTAGGAGAAATTAGCTTCAAAAAATATTTTCTGTAAATGGGTTGTCTTTAATGGTTTTTGAATCATCATTAAAGTAGGCATATTAGTGCTTACTATTTGCCATTACTGTCTTCAGAAATTCATTCTAGTGGGGAGAAACATATATACATGTATATGTACCAGGTATAGTAATGTATTCAGTGGTCAATCCCAGCAGCAGACATGTACAGAGTCTTGGGGAAAAGAATACATAATGGCTAGGTGAATGGGTAGAAGACCAAACATTTATCACTGATAGATGTAATACCTTAAGGTTTTGTCTTGTTCTTTCTTTCTAACTTAAGAAAAAGAAGCAAAAAAGGTTGAAGGATTTGATGCGGTTCAGAAGCCAAGTTATTATGTTAGACTGGGGTCCCTGTCTACTAAGCTCCGCTCACGTGCCTACCAGCAGGCTCTTGGTAGGGTTAAAGAAGCTAAGCAAAAAAGCCAAGAGACCATTTCTCAGCTTCATTCTACTGTTCACCTGGTAAGTAAAATTTTAAGTTACCTAAAGTGAATTCACGTATCCTGAGGGAGGAGAGTAAACATAATTGTGAAACCTAAAAATTTTAGTCTGTCTTTATGTATGACTCAGTGGAAAAATGGACTGAAGAAACAACTCACAGAAAAGGAAGTAAGTGAGGAAATAGCTGAGTACGTGGAGCAATGCTAACCTTAGAGGGGTCAAATACAGATATCTCTCTCGATCTGTCAGACGGGCAAAGTTGGATGCTGTCAGCAACAGTGTAGAGAAAGAGCTGAACTTGTACACTTCCGAAAGATTTGAGGGACTACTGCAAGGAATTGTTTAAGAAAATTACAAACCTTAAGTAGTTTTAGGAATTTACCCTGCAGATAGGTATGTATATTGTGTTGCAAGAGACTGTAACATTGCAGGCCATCTAATGGAGACTAATCGAATTGATGCATCACAATAGACTACTGTGTAGCCAATAAAGATTGCCAAGTTAGAGAACAGGATGTACAGTACTGCAGGAAGAAAACCTTTTTTTCTTCCTGGAAGGGGAAATAGGTGGCTGACAACAGGGAAGAGGAAGGTTGAGTTTTTTCTCTTTTGTAATTCTTATCCTTCTTCACCCTGTCACAGATTAAATTTTGGTTGTCCTACCTGTACTAAACTGAAATTAAAATATGAGTTAATGGTTTACTAGTTGAGTGAAGGCAGTAAAGAACAACTACTTGGTTGACTTAAACATATTACAAATTACAGTGATAGCCGGTATAGTCCTCATTAAATTTGTATGGAAATTCTTGGTTTTTTATGCTTCCTGATTAATATCATAGATCTGCAAACAGAACAACATGAATTTCTAATGGTTTGTTCCCTTATCTTATTTCCATGTGTTCTAGATTGAATTTGCCAGGAAGAATGTGCATAGTGCCAACCAGAAAATTCAGGATGCTCAGGATAAGCTCTATCTCTCGTGGGTGGAGTGGAAGAGAAGCATTGGCCACGATGATACTGATGAGTCCCACTGTGCTGAGGTAAGATGCCTGGGGTAGTCACTCACTACCATTTCTCAAGAAGTTCATAGCAGACTTTTCAATTTTCCCATAATTCCTCTGAGAGTACTCTGCTCTATCAAAAAGCTTGAACAATACTGTGTAGATAGGTTGCTCATTATATGACTGAAAAAGCTGGAGAGGGAGTTGCTTTATCTAACAACCTATAGATGTGCATATTTCCCTGAATGAGATACAACCAAAGGAGAAACCTGGGCTTTGCTGTCATAATGCATACATACTAACTGGGGATATAGGCAGCTAAACTGGTACAGTTGTTTTCTAAGGTTTTATTATTTATTTTTATTAGAGATCTCTCCACTGGTTTGCTCTTCAAATGGCCCTAATGGCAGGGATGCTGGGGGGGTGGGAGGGGGTGCTGGGATAGTCCAAAGCTGGGATCCAGGAGCATTATCCAGTGCTTTAACATGGGTGACAAGAACCCGCTGCTGCCTCCGAGGGTCAGCGTTAGTAGGAAGCTGGAGTCAGGAGCTGAAGTTGGATATCGAACTCGGGCACTCTGTTCGGGATGAGGGTATCTTAACCAGCATTTTGATTTTCTTTTATTTTCATCTTATTGGAAAGGCAGGGGGACAGTGACTGAGATCTTCTATCCACTGTTTCATTTCCCCAAATGCTAGCAATGGCTAGGGCTGGGTCAAACTGAAGCCAAGAGCCTGGAATTGAATCTAGGTCTCCCAGTCTCCCATGTGGGGTGCCGGGGACCCACATACTTGAGCCATCACTGCTGGATCCCAGGGTGTACATTAGTAGGAAGCTGGAATCAGAAGCAGAACTAGTGCTTTAACCCAGGCACTCCTATATGGGATGTGGATTTCCCAAGAGATGTCTTTTTTCTTAATTTTTTTTTAAGATTTGTTTATTTGAAAGGCAGAGTTACAGAGAGAAATGGAGAGACAGAGAGAGAAAGAAATACTCCATCTGCTTTTTCACTTCCCAAATGGCCATAGTGGCCAGAGTTGGGCCAGGCCAAAGCCAGGAGCCTGGAACTCCATCTGGGTCTCCCATATGGGTGGCAGGGTCCTAGGTATTTGGGTCATCATCCATTTTCATTCCTGACACATAAGCAGGGGCCTGGATTGGAAGTGGAGCAACTAGACTCTAATGGGTATTCTAATGGGACTGCGGCTTAACCCACTGTGCCACAACACCAGTCCCGCAGGTGACATCTTAACTGCTGTGCTAAAATGCCTGCCCTATCACAGTGGTTTGGTATGATAAATACAAGTGCTAGGAGAACACATAGGAAGGCTTCCTAATACAGTGTTGTGAGGTGGTGGTGGTGGTTGGGGGTGAGTCAGAGGACTTCCTGGAAGAGAGAAATATAGAGCAGATCTAATGGGTGGATAAACTAGGTTAAAGAGCAGTAAGGGGATGAATGTTCCAGGATGTTATAATCCCTGAAAGTGGTTCTGTGTGTCCCAAAAAGCCTTTGCCTTTGATATCAGTGTCGACTGGTTGTTCCTCTCACATCATCTTATTTGAAGAGGGAATATCAGAATTATGCTACAAACATGGAGTATATTTTCATTTTCTCTGGTCTTCCCTGCCTGTTAGATTTCTTCAGCTGCAGATGATAAACTTCACAGACTCAGGCAGCAGGTTCAAATCCCCACTCAACTATTTTCCAGTGTTAATTGGGGACAAGTTAATTAACTCTAAGCTTGTGTTCATATCTGAAGTGTGGAAAAATACTGCTGTGTTTGGTGTTACATGAGGATTTTAAAAAAGGTCAGATAGTCTATATGTGTGGTGGGCACAACACACAGTTTTCTGTTATTGAACTAATTCATATAGGGCACTTTAAAGATTTGTGGAAAATAGAATTAATATATAAGTTTATTTGTTAGAAAAACTATTTTTTAAGTTTTGTTTATTTGAAGGACATAATCAGACAGAGAGCATGCTTCCATCTACTATTTCACTCCCCAAATGGCTGAAATGGCCAGAGTTGGGCCAGGCCAAAGCCAGGAGCCTGGAACTCCATCCAGATCTCCCGTATGAGTAGCAGGGGCCCAAGCACTTGGGCCATCTTCTGCTTTCTCAGACATATTAGCAGGGAACTAAATTGGAGGTGGAGCAGCCAGGATTCAAACTGGTGGTCATATGGGATGCCAGCACAGCAGGTGTTGGCCTAACCCTCTACCACAAGGCTGGCCCTGTTTTCTATGAACTTTTTGGACCTATTTCATATGTATTGATTTCAGAATTGCTTTGCATCAAAATAAGCTTTTAATTCTATTTTCCAACAATTTTTTTTAAAGATTTATTTATTTGACAGATTTACAGAGAGGCAGAGAGAGGGAGGTCTTCTGTCCACTGGTGTATTCCCCAAATGACTGCAATGGCCAGAGCTAGGCTGATCCGAAGCCTGGAGCCAGGAGCTTCTTCTGGGTCTCCTGTGTGGGTGCAGGGCCCAAGCACTTGGGCAATCTTCTACTGCTTTCCCAGGCCATAGCAGAGAGCTGGATTGGAAGTGGAGCAGTTGGGACTCGAACCGGTGCCCATATAGGATACTGGCACTGCAGGCGGCGGCTTTACTGGCTATACCACAGCACTAGTCCCTTGAATAACTTTTAAAAGTCAGCTGGTACATACCATTGTTGGAGCCACCACTAACTCTTCAGTTTGTTTTATTTGTAGCACATCGAGTCACGTACTCTTGCTATTGCCCGCAACCTGACTCAGCAGCTCCAGACCACATGCCACAGCCTCCTGTCCAACATCCAAGGATTGCCACAGAACATTCAAGATCAGGCCAACCACTTGGGAGTGATGGCAGGCGACATCTATTCAGTGTTTCGCAATGCTGGCTCCTTTAAGGAAGTGTCCGACAGCTTCCTCATTTCGAGCAAGGGGCAGCTGCAGAAAATGAAGGAATCTTTAGATGATGTGATGGATTATCTTGTTAACAACACACCCCTCAACTGGCTGGTAGGTCCCTTTTATCCTCAGCTGACCGAATCTCAGTATGCTCAGGACCAAGGTACAGAGATGAACAAGATCAGCCAGGAGGTCCCTCAAAATGAGCCTAAAACTCATTAAACCTGTTGCTATCACCAGCGCATGACACAGCCAGCAAGATGACACCTTTTCATATGTTGAAATTAACTTGCTAGACAACTCTAACTTGGGGAAACTGTTAGCTAGAAAAGAGAGTCATTCATTATAGTAATTTCTAGCTAGAGTAAGAACTTCAAAATTTCCAGTACTTGCAAATGAGTCTGTTTACCCGGCTGATTAAAAAAAAAAAAAAAAAGAACGACATATTTGTCAGAGGCCAGCCAGAACTTGGGAAAAGTTCAAGTGCACTTATCTCCTTCTGTGACTGTTTTGTTGATGCTCTTACCATCTGTTTGTATTGAATAAAAGCATTTTCATATGGGCTATGGTATAAACTGGCATCTGCTTCAGTATAGCCTGAGCAGGACTCATGACTGGTTATCTCTTAATGCATGCTTGTACAACTTGACTGCAGATTTTTATTCCTTAAAAGGGGATATACTACCTTTGAATCAATAAAATTCACTCTAGATCAGTATTATGCTGTTCCATGTGCTTTGTCTGTTGCTTGCATTCATAGAGCTGCTTGGCCTGCATGACAGGGTTATTATTATACATACATGAATTTCAGTTGGGCTTTTGGGAAATTTGGCAAGTTGATAACATTGGAAAACTAATATTACAAATGGAATGTTTAGTAACAGGTTTCAAACAAAAGGTGATGTGCACATTAAAATTTTACTAAGTGACAGCTGCATTCATTTGCCAATTTACTGGACCCCCGAGTGTGTATCATTTTTAAGCCAGTAAAATCATCTAGTAATTGACTGCCTTGCTCAAAGGAATCAAAACTGAAAGGAAGCAAATGAGTCAGCTTACAGCAGTCTCACATAACAATAGGCCTTTCTTGCTAAAAGGCCAGTTAAAATGTAAGCCCTAATGTGAGATCATTCAGTGTCTAGTCTCGTTGGAAGACAATCATAACCTCAGTTGTTGAAGACCATATGAGAATAATTACTAAGTCCCAAGTCTTTTGACTAATATAGAAAAGGAATCTTCTACTTCCTGCGTAAGTTCCCCAGACTTCAAAAAATGAGGAACACATAACTTTACATGCTACTTTTTTTTTTTTTTTTTTTTTTTTTGGACAGGCAGAGTGGACAGTGAGAGAGAGAGACAGAGAGAAAGGTCTTCCTTTTGCCATTGGTTCACCCTCCAATGGCTGCTGCGGCCGGCGCGCTGCGGCCGGCGCACCGCGCTGATCCGATGGCAGGAGCCAGGTTCTTACCCTGGTCTCCCATGCGGGTGCAGGGCCCAAGGACTTGGGCCATCCTCCACTGCACTCCCTGGCCACAGCAGAGAGCTGGCCTGGAAGAGGAGCAACCGGGACAGAATCCGGCGCCCCAACCGGGACTAGAACCCAGTGTGCCTGCGCCACAAGGCGGAGGATTAGCCTAGTGAGCCGCGGCGCCGGCCCTTTACATGCTACTTTCATGTGAATGAATAAAGTACGTTAAAGCTTTTGATCATTGCCAGTCTTCTCCGAAATATAACTCAGTGAAGTGGAAGGCAGAAATTCAGTTGTTTGTCTCTCTGCCTTTTTTTTTTTTTTTTTAAGATTTATTTTTATTTGAAGGCAGAGGCAGAAAGCGAGAGAGAGAGAGAGAGGTCTTCCATCTGCTGATTCACTCCTCAGATGGCTATAGCAGCCGGAGCTGGGCTGACCTGAAGTCAGGAGCCAGGAGCTTCCTCTGGGTCTCCCACGTGGGTGCAGGGGCCCAAGGACCTGGCCCATCTACTGCTTTCTCAGGCCATAGCAGAGAGCTGGATCGAAAGTGGAGCAACCGGGATTCAGACCGGCACCCATATGGCATGCTGGTACTGCAGGTGGTGGCTTTACCTGCTATGCGTCGGCCCCCTATCTCTCTGCCTTTTAAATAAAAATATATACAAATCTTTCATCCACTGGTTCACTCCTCAAATGCCTGCAACAACTGGGGCTGTGGTATGCTAAGCTGGAAGTGGGGAAACGCAGTCCAGCTCTCTCATATGGGCGGCAGGGACCAACGTACTTGAGCCATCACCTGCTGCCTTTCAAGGTGTGCAGTACCGGGAAGCTGAATTGGAAGTAGAGTAGCTAGGACTCAAGCCAGGCACTCTGATAGAGGATGCGGGCATCTTAACTGCTGTACCAAATGCTTGCCTTGTCACTGAAATTTTTGAAGTTGCCCTTTAATTTGCACATAAGGAGCTTGGTTTCCAGGAAGGATGGACTTTCCTGACGTGTATGCTTCCAGGGTTGAATCTTTTACTTGCCTGTCTACAGGGACTAGCATTTTTTTTATAGCTTCTGCATTTTATTTATTTTTTGTAACCCAAATCTGATGAGCCCCCCTTCTTTGCTTCAAAACTGTAAGACTGGTGAATTGCAATTGATTGGAAAATTACTGTAGCAGTACATGTGCTTTCTTATCCTGCATATAAACTTCTGTTTCTTCCTTAAAAGTTGTAGTGCTATATGAATTGTTTATGAGGAGATAGGTCTCAAGGCTATGCTTCCTGAGTAAGGACAGAATATAAAGCAGAACACCACCAGCCCTTGCTTTCCACCACTAGCTGCGCACATCAGTCATGGTTTTGTCTGTCTGTGTGTCTCAGGTTTGACTTAGACCCACATGTAGCTCATGAATTGTCAGCATGTCCTTGTAGCTTCATTGTTGCATAAGCTAGCAAAAAATTTTAATTAGAGCTATTTTTCTTCCAAGGAAGTTAATTGTTTTTGAGAGGAAAAAAAGCTGACTACCCCTAATACAGTACAAATATCTAACCATAGCATGTTTGTAAATATTTGGCCTTATGAAGCTAAGCACAATGTGTTCAAAATATTTTTTCCTTTGCAAATAGTCTGGAATTTTAGTCCTAGACAAAAAACCAAAGGAACGTGGTGTGCTGGTTGTTATCTCTGAGCCTTAGTTTTCTCATCTGTAACATAAGATTAATGATGCCTCAGTGGATGGAAGCGAAATGTCAAGGATGGGGTGTTTTTTCTAATTTGCACAGAAGCCTGGTGATACTTTCTGTATCACCAGGGACATATAACTTTAACTTGCTGGTTCAGGCATCAGGTATGTGTGCTTAATACCAGATTGTGACTGGGAAAATGTCTGCTTTGATAAAGCATTCTAGGCATTGAAGAACTAGTGAAGTAATCAAAAACTTAATTGATTTCCCTGAGATATTCTTTTTAGACTATCATTTCATAAGGGGAGGAGGAAGGAGGAGGACAGATACTTGTGTATAGTTGTTAATGAAATTCAGTCTGACTGATGCCTGGGAGAGCAGGTGCCGATGGACGCAAAGGAGGACCTTTTGCCAGGTTGCCCTTACTTGGGCTCTTGTGATCCTCAGCTGGGCCTCACTTGTGATCCAGCTTCAGGAATGGCCCAGGACTGAGACCAGTGTGTGTGGTCCTGTGGCGAGATGTCCTTCCCCATAAGTCAGTGTATTGATTACTTTTATCTCAAAGTGTAGCAGCTTCATGCCACCTTCCCAACAGGTATCCTGTAAAAATTCTGTATGTAATCTTTCCCTATAGCTACTTGGTAAGGAAAAGATGCTGAATAATTGTACAATTGAATATCTAAGTTCCCAGACCAAAAGAGAAACTGGAAAGGTAATAGTATTGGACTATTCAGAGAGAAAGAATAAGAAGCCTCTCTCAGGGGTGTGGGTATTTGGTGCAGCAGTGAAGTTGCTGCTTAAGACAGCCGCATCCCATATCTGAAGGCCTGGTTAGAGCCCTAGATCCTCCACTTCTGATCATGCTTCTTGCTATCGTGTACCCTGGGCGATGGCTCAATAAATTTCTTTTTTAAACCTAAAGTTTTTTTTTTCAGTTTGAACTTTATTTTTTAAATTTATTTTTCCCCCCAAAGAAACCTTTTATTTAAGGAATACAAATTTTGTAAGTACAACATTAGGAATATAGTGATACTTCCCATCATACCCACTATCGCACCCACACTCCTACCCCTCTTCCCTCTCCCATTCCCAGTCCCATTCTCCACTAAGATTCATTTTCAATTAACTTTATACACAGAAGACCAACTCTATACCAAGTAAAGATTTCAACAATTTGCAACAATTCCACAACTGTTAACAAGTTTTAGTTAACTTTCATAATACAACTGGCCCCACAAAGACTTACTCTTGTTGTACCTGCTCAAATGAATAGAATACAGAGGGATTGACATTGATTAGTTGAATGTTGCATGGTACCAAGAATTGTTTAAATTGTCTTGTGATCAGTACTGACCTGCCCTCTAGACAGTGCTAACAATGCCATCAGACTTCTTAGTCAAGAGCAAAACAGTGGTGTAAAAAGCACCAACTTAAGGGCAGGGAATATCTACCAGCCCATTCAGCTGTACTAAATTATGTTCAGTAAAGGGAAAGAGAAATGAGGCGCTCCTGGCTCTAGTTGCAAGCACACCATTGAGCTGCATAAAATACCTGTTGTGGATACTGAGAAGTTTCTATTAAAGTCAATAATGTTAGTGTTTTTTTTTGGACAGGCAGAGTTAGGTAGACAGACAGAAAGGTCTTCCTCCTTCGGTTCACCCCCAAAATGGCTGCTATGGCTGGCACACTGCGCCGATCCAAAGCCAGGAGCCAGGTGCTTCCTCCTGGTCTCCCATGTGGGTGCCGGGCCCAAGGACTTGGGCCATCCTCCACTGCACTCCTGGGCCACAGCAGAGAGCTGGACTGGAAGAGGAGCAACCGGGACAGAACCGGTGCCCCAACTGGGACTAGTACTTGGGGAGCTGGCGCCGCAGGCGGAGGATTAGCCTAATGAGCCGTGGCGCTGGCCCAGTGTTAGTCTTAAGACTAAGTATTGGTTATAGCCAACCATTACTTCTTGCACAATGCTT